TAATCAAAGTATGCTACTCTCAATATTCAAAGTGCAAATAGAGACCAAATGTTTCAAGCATGATGCAGAACCATAGACAACTACACAACCTATTATAGCCTACATACTAAAAACAGCCTAGATATGTTATGTAGCCTAATTTGCGCGCTTCAGGGAGTCGCTCTCAAAACGCGGGTATTAAAATCGCTTTTAAATACGCGCGCACGTTTTACCTTCGGTTTTTGATTTAACGATCGTGCAAACTCTTGGCGAATATTTAATAAACAACAACAGCCATCATAAAAGTTGCTAGGCAATTCAGTCAAAAGTACAAAGGCAGCGCTCTGATATACAGCATTGAAGTTACATAAACATGATGAGATTTTGCCAAAACTATTTGCTCTGGAACAAATAATAGATTAATGAGACCAAAGACTGCCCATTAGATTTACCCAAAACAAATTATATATCATGTTTAACCACTATAGAGACACCAGAGCCAGCGGCAAATTCCACAAGATCTGGCCGAGGTGAGGCGCTCTCTCTGCGGGTTCATGAGCGCTGAATGCCCGCTGACGTCCTGGAGCTCACAAGCAAATTTTCAAATAGACGTTATTCTTTATTAACAAACCGCATACAAGTCAAAACAAGAACAAATGCTCTTAAAACTATACTCCGTGACACAAAACAGTATTATTTTTAAAATTACAGTGGATTTGGGCGTCCGCCATGGTGAAGGAGTTTTTACATCTTATTCATTTAATTTTACCAAGTTTGTTTGAAGTTCTACCCATAAACTTGGTAATACTTTGGATCTGGTTTTATCTCTAGGTGTTCCAATTTTTAATGTGGATATTGTGAATACTTGTTTTGTTAAACTGTGATATGACAGGTTGAAAGACACTATGATTAAATATTAAAAGGCAGTAAAAGCTGCAATGGTAAAATATTTATCGGATCTTATTAACAGTAATCCTAGTAATCCTAAATCGTTATTTAAGATGATACACTCAGTTTTAAATCCTAGCAAAACTACAGGCTTTGATATTATTCATTCAAAATGTGAAAAGTTTTTATTGTTTTTCATAAACAAAATTGAGGTTCTCAGAGCTAGCACTTCATCTCCTGACCTTATTCTTGATTATATTTCCCCACCTCCATTAGAACATGATGTGAGCGAGTTTGAACCGATATCATTATCCAGTTTGGTGGATTTAGTCTGCCATATGAAGCCTACACAGCACCCAACTCCGTACAGAATCAGCCCTTCTCCAAGTGTCTAATGATCTGTTCCTGGCCACCGATTCAGGAAAGTGTGTAATTTTGGTTTTAATGGATCTGAATTGGACACTATAGCACACAATATTCTTTTGGAGCGTTTAAACGGGTCATTGTATGCACATTTTTCACAAGTTGATATGATTCTTTAGGGTCTTAATGAAACGTCTATAACATACTTTGGTTAAAATTTCTCAATGGTAGTGTAAAAAACACCCTTTTTACCTGGTCAAAAACAGCTCGGTTCACAGCGACCCATTTCAGTGCATGTCTCTTTAAATGCTAATGAGCTCTGCTCACCCTGCCCCTGTTCTCATGAGACTGTAAACTTTAGCCGCATTTAGCCACGGAAGTTGCAAACTAGCACATCATTAGGAAAGGCGATTTGCATTTGAAAGATTCATTAAAAAAATCTTACACACTTACTACTTCTGTAGGGGAAGCTGGATCACGCATGATTCGCACGAACAAACACATTTAGGTAGATTGGGGGGCGCATTCCCTTCAAAAACAAGCGTAATCCTCTGCGTCTTCACCGGCTCAGATGTCAGAAGTAAATGACGACTACTATGTTCATTATTACATCCAACAACAGAACACCTCAGTCGCTTTGGAGACACTCAGTACGTTTACATGAACAGCAATATTCCAATTTTAACATGATCAAGACAATACTCTGATTAAGAATCTGCCATGTAAACAGAGATTTTTGATTATCTTAATCCAGCTAAAGTCATACTCCAAGTAAACACAAATCGAATTAAGACATGTGGATTATTCCTATTTTAGTCGCATTATCAAAGTGCAGTATAGACATGTACACACCTTAATCACACTATTACCGGCGTTTACTTTTTGCCACATTTTGCGACAGGATACACGCGGCAGTGGTCAGTTTCACGGCAAACAAAAGAGCATGGCTTCAACAACGCCGTCGTCTGTATGCACGCATAGCATGACAAATAATTAACTGCACTTGAAGCTTTCATAAAATTAAAAATGAAACACCCAAAACTGTATATGGCATCATAATGAAGACGAACTATATGCTTGTTATACGTGAAATTCCGGAGGGGACATCGAATGGCATGTAATGAAGTGCCATTATTCGATCTATGCACTATAAAGGAATATTCTAAAAGCAACTTATGTAAACACCTTTATCATAATATTGTCTTATTTAGAATAAGGTAAATAATTAGATTACTGATGTCCATGTAAATGTAGACAATCATGTCTACCCCTGCACCAGCGTCGAAACAATGGCGGACTGTTCACAGCTCACTCAGGGCGGGTCTACTGTAAAACAGCAGTGTCAGTCAATAATCAGGGAGGGGCCAGTGCAGAACTATGTCACTCTGCAAAGAATCTCAGAACAGCCTGATCTGAGAAAGTGATCATTATTATTGGGGATTAAAAAAAAAAAGCACTGGGTGGATTTTTATCATTATAGGGTGGATGTGTACACACACTGCCAACACACATTTATGTTCAAACAACATGTAAAAGTGAGTTTTGTATCCGATGACCCTTTTAAGACTGTGGGCAGGGATCCAAAGAAATGCTCTTGCCAAGGAAACTTGCCTTCTATATTTCTGGGAGAACTTTTTCTGTGGAATAAGGACATTTCTTATTCTTCTGCTATAACGAAATGTGGGGTCCTTCAAGGATCTATATTGGGTGCAGTATTATTGAACATCTACATGCTGCCTCTGGTTGATATTTGTCAGATTTTGACAATGTATATTATTCATCTCTATGCTGATGACACTCAGCTTTATCTCCCTTTAAAGGTGGGGGACAGATTTGCTCTACAATCACCTCTTTAGTTGTTTTAAAGGTGACATATCATGAAAATCTGACTTTTCCAGGTTTTAAACATGCAATTTATTTCCCAGATGTTAACCTTCACAGACATAACTGACTGTTTTTTGTAACTCATGTGTGTTTTTAACGTAAACTTGTGTGTGAATGAGAACTTAGTTTAGTACTCACATGCTGTGACAGCCGCTTTCTGTCCGTGCGCTTCGGATATGTGCTCTCAGAAAAAACGTATATCAGAAGTTTAAACTCATATGGTTTAAAACGCATGATTTCATCATAAACATGATAATCAGAACCAAAACAGATTTTTTAGCAGGTACGAGCTGTAAGGGCACAACTCTATTCTGGAAAAGGGGGCGGGGAGCAGCAGCTCATTTGCATTTAAAGAGACCGGCCCGAAAAACATCTTGTTTCTGCTTCCACTCAAAATAGGCATTTTCAAAATTATATTATCAATGATCTGTGGAGAATTTTGAGCGGAAACTTCACAGACACATTCTGGGGACACCACAGACGTATATTACATATTGTAAAAAGGGGCATAATAGGTCTCCTTTAATGATAATAAGGAGTGGATGGCAGCCAGTTTTCTTCACCTGAATGAGTCAAAGACTAAAGTGATAGTGTTTGGCCCTCCGAGTTTATCCAAACCTTTAACTAATCAAGTAGGCCTCTTCTGTGGTTCTTAATCCTGGTCCTGGGGACCCCAACTCTGCACATTTTGTATGTATTTTTTGACACACTCAGTTCAGTTCATGGAGCTCTTTCCAAATGAGCTGATGATCTGAATCAGGTGTGTTAAATAAGGGAGACACACAATGTGCAGAGAGAGGCATCCAGGATTAAGTACCACTGGGCCTCTTTAATTCCAAGGTACACAATCAAGCAAAGAGTCTTGGTGTTATTTTTGATACAGTTTGATCTTCTAAATTCAGAAGCATTGTCTTTTAATGATTTGGAAGTTGTTATGCATGCTTTTATTACATCCAGACTGGACTATTGTTATTCATTGTATTACAGTGTTTCTCATGCCTCACTTTCACGCCTGCAGTTGGTTCAAAATGCTGATACTAGGCTTCTGACTGGGACAAAGAAGTACAGTATGCAACTATATCACCTGTATTAACATCACTCCACTGGCTTGCAGTCAAATTCAGAATCAAATACAAGTAGTTATTTGTTTTTAAGGGTTTAAATGGGTTGGCACCCAAGTTCTTCAGTTACACATGTCCTCTAGGCCATTAAGATCTGTACAAAGGTTTCAGTTAAATCTTGGTTAAAGTTGAAAGGCATTCTCTATTGCAGCTTCATGCTTATGGAACAGCTTAACTCTTCACATTAGATCTTGTGCCACTCTTGATGCATTTAAATCTCATTTAAAGACTCATTTTTTACACTTTCATTTGACTCTACTTAATTTTGTATAATTTTGTATTTATTTTATAGTACTAGATTGTATGAATGTGTTAGGTCCTGGTATGTAAAGCCAACATGTGCTATATAAATAAATGTGATTGCTATATAAATAAATGTGATTGATTGATTAAAAATGCACTTAACTGCATTTTACAGCGAGGATAAACTTTTGATATACGACTAGAAGGGCCAGGAGAGCCCAGTTAAAGAAAAAAAAAACACTTGGAACAACAGAGAACCAGCTGAGACAAAGAGCTAGATGAGAAATAACTTAAGATAGAGGAAACTAACCCTAATCCTACTATATGCAGCAATAATGAGTCAGGAGACCATACATCTTACTGTACAAGTAAAATATATGATTCATTCAGAACAGCTCTCTACACCATCTTCTGTCTTTATTCCTGAAGACAGCTGATAAATGTATTTGATAAACATTTCATCTACGCATAACTACTAAAATGTATAAATTGACCTGAGATGCATCGAATGTATTTAAAACCTTATGATATATATCCTTTTGGAGCAGGTAACAGAGTATAAATATTCGGTGTGCAGTGTGTGTCGCTGAAGACGCTGCTCTTGTTATGGGAGCCATCACGGCTCTGAACTCTCACGCAGTACCACGTCTGTCTGTCCAGCTCAGTCAGCATCTCCAGATTGTTCTTCGTCTCCAGGACTTTAGCCTTCTGCAGGGACAGTCAGAGCAGGAAATGATGTCACTCAGCAGTGCCATCTATACAGTAATGCTGCATTGAAAACACACCAGTCATGGCCGTAAAATAAGAAGGTCCGTTAACACGACTGAACGCATCAGGTATTCTGAAATAACAAATGAACTAGGCTATACTTTCAATGCACTTAATATTTCAGCCTAGATTAAGAATGTTGATCAGCATACACTTTAACTGATGTGAACATACTTTGTTTTGAAACCATTCACCCGTGTGATGGGGAAACACTCAAACTCTCTGATGATTAAGCATCATTTGATGAGCAGTATCAGTGTCTATTTATGCTGCTATGCTACAATCACCCTTCACACAGCACCGGTGAAACACAAACCTGCAGACTAGTGTGAGAGTTCACCTCTCAGTGTGCTGTGAGAAGCCCGACACTTCATTTACTTTATACACACTTACTGAAATGGGTGAATATCTAAATAATAATGATTATCATTATACCTATTATTATGAGTAAACAAAAATACAACTACAATTTAAGTAGTTAAATGTAATATTAAGAAACTATTTCTTCTTTGTTTTACATTATTCAAAGTCCCAAAAGTTTATTTAAAACAAAAAAAAAAAATGAATAGTTCCCACATGTTCACAGACTACTGGAGCCCAGTGTGTGTGACAATAGTTTTAACTACAAACATTTTGAGAGGAACGAATCTGGTTTGAGATCAGAAACCACCATCTTTCTACAGGATGTGGTCAAGCTACTTAGCAGCATTTCTGAGATTGAAACTGAAGATGACTTGAAGTGCTTTGTGTTCACAGCTTGTCCTCAGCAGACGCCACATTCAGACAGTATCCACATGCAGCCGCTGCTGAAACCCATACGAGAGCTTTTGGTGTGAGTGTGCACAGATACCTGAGGCTCTTCAGAGCGCCTCCAGTACTGGATGAGGTAGCTCAACCTGTTGTTCAGCAAAGTTTTCATGGACTGGTTAGTGCTGCTCAGAGGATCGGTGATGATGATCTCTAGATCTCCTTTAATCGAGCTCAGCTTCAAGCTGGAGGGAGGACCTAAAGCAGCTGAGAGCAGAAGAAAAGAGCCGGGGTCAGCATAGCAGAATCAAATGCCAGTGCCAGGAACAGACAGACAGACAGACAACTGACACACAGACAGAAAACTAACAGACAGACAGACAGAATACTGACAGACAGACAGACAGACAGACTGACTGACAGACTACTGACAGACAGAGAGACTGACAGACAGAGAGACTGACAGACTACTGACAGAGAGACTGACAGACTGACAGAGTACTGACAGACAGACTACTAACATACAGAGAGACTGACAGACAGACTACTGACAGACAGAGAGACTGACTGACAGACTACTGACAGACGGACAGCCTACTGACAGAAAGACTGACAGACAGAGAGACTGACAGAGAGAGACTGACAGACAACTGGCAGAGAGACTGACAGACTACTGACAGACAGACAGACTACTAACAGACAGACTACTAACAGACTGACAGACTACTGACAGAGAGCCTGACAGACAACTGACAGACAGAGAGACTGACAGACAGATAGACAACAGATAGACAACATTCTTCGCGATGGCGCCGACGTTGATGGCTGCCTCTGTGGCGTGCTCCGCAGTTGTTTTTATGGTTTTGTTCGTTTGTCCTGTCTTTAGTTATATCGCTGCAATCAGTTTCACCAGAGACAAATTGCTGGGCATTCGGAAGTACACACCACCCGATATTTCACAGGTTTTCGATTATTCTGATGTTTTGCTGGACATTGTAGTCGGGGATACACTTATTTATCTAACACACATACTCAGTCTACATTTCAATTTGCACATAATATACCTGTACATTCAACTGTCTATTGTTATATACCTATACATACAGTTGTCGATCTGTATATTTTTATTCCTTATTTACTTGTTCTATTTTTAATTTTTAATTTATTTACATTTTTTATTATGTGTGTTTTTTGTTCTGTCACTGTCATTCTGTTACACTGTGGAAGCTTCTGTCACGAAAACAAATTCCTCGTATGTGTAAACATACCTGGCAATAAAGCTCATTCTGATTCTGATAGACAGACAGACTACTAACAGACATACAGATAGACAGAGAGAAAGAAAGGCAGACAGACTGCTAACAGACAGACAGAAAGACAGACAGACTACTGACAGACAGAAAGAAAGACAGACTACTGACAGACAGAAAGACAGACAGACGGACACAACTGACAGACAGACTACTAACAGACATACAGATAGACAGACAGACAGAAAGAAAGATAGACGGACTACTGACAGACAGACAGCTCACCGTGTTCATCAGGACAGAAACTGATCTGGACCCAGCCGGAAGACTGCTGTGACGTGTTTGCCCGCACACGCAGCAGAAAAAAGATTTTGTAATTTATAGCTCCAGTGAAATCACAGCGATGCTCCAAAACATTGACACACACCGATGTCCAGTACTTCTCATTACTGTCCTTCCGGGACCGAAACTCCCTGTTGGAGAAAAGGAAACGTGAGTGCACTTGATCTGTCAGTAAAGCAGTGCTTCCCGAGCCTGTTCTTGGAGCCCCAGTGCTGTCTCCATCAAACACACCTGATTCAGCTCATCAGCAGACACTGAAACGAGTCTCAGATAAAGTAGACGTGTTAGATGTGGTTGTGTGGGGCTCCAGGAACAGGCTTAAGAACAACAAAATCAGTTCAGTTGGTCATCCGATCCTGGACAGATGAGTACCTCAGGGAAACAACTGAACATCTCTTATTTAGAGTTCACTGAAGCATTAAAATGTCACCCCTCTTTTGGACGTCCCAAGGTTTACTAGCTTCTGTTTTTGTCAAGACCCTGCCTACATACCTACTATACAGTAAGGCACAATAATCAGTCATATAGCTTATGACTATATGATTATTTACATCTGTCATCATGATGTTTTGCATATGCATGTGTGATTTGTATAGACTAGGGTGAATATCTGGCTGTCTGAAGATGGGCCCTTCGCGTCTCCTTTGACTTCATCGGTGCTTAATAAAGCCTGAGCACATTTAAACACATTTCTCCCTCATTTCTTACAGCTGTAATGCAAAAATGATATAGATTACTATAACAATAATGCTCTTGGTAGTATTCGTTGTACTGTCTTTCATTTATGCCGATTTTCATTCACTCATTTCTGCATTACAGTAACAGTGAGAATAAAAACAAAACATCTGGACAAAATGCTATAATCAGAAATTTGGAGGAAAAGACTGCTGACATTCCAAAAATGTGTAGGCCTAATTTTCTTTATGCTAAATATAATTTAGCAGATATTTTCCTTAGTATTTTGAGATGAAAAATAAACCTGACCTTAAGAAGCATTTACACGATCAGAGACACTGCTATGAGCTGCGGCGATGTTGTGTCACACATTAGACTGTGATCATGTGCTCGGCCCCTCAAACTATGTATTACAGAGTGTGTGATGTCTCATGACCTGTACAAACTATTAGTTGTATTTTTTTTTTCCACTTTATCAGCTGATTCAGTCACAAACCCAAATAAGCATGGACACACGTGTCACGTGCATGAAGCAATCACATATGAAGGCTCTTACCGTAGATACTGCGCAGTGAAGGTGACAGTCTGGTTGGCGGCGGTCTCATGAGGCCAGTCCCACCGCAGCACATAACGGGTGTTGAGCGAGTCGACGCTGACGTTCTCAGGACGCCTCAGATCTCCGAATCCTGCCAGACACACAGAGACAGCACACCCACGTATTTATATATGAATAGTCTTTTTATGTGGGCTAGTTACATTTATTTTGGGTTACCAAAATCTGAAGAGTGCCTGCCAGAAGAACTACCAGTGATTTTGAAATTTTGTGAGCCCTGCACCTATGTATTACATTATTTGTAAAGCTACAAACATTCCAGTAAACACTGCTAATAGGGATCAGAAGTGAAAGAAAATAACATTTTAAAGCATCTGTGTGAAAACAAACCTGAAAACAAAACAAATACAGAGAAATTCTTTGGTGCATTAAGTAGGGCTGGGTTTTGACACAAATTTCACGATTCGATTCGATTCTCATTCACAAGCTTGTCATTCGATTACCAATTCGATTCGATTTTGATTATTTTGGATATATATCAGTTACAGTACATGCCAAATTTTCTAAACTAATGCTGTAAAATATACATGAGTCAGTTGGTACAACATTACTATAATATTGAAGGTTAAAATTACGTTTTAAGTTTTTACAATAATAAAGTTACATATTAATATTTCTACTTCAATTGGTTTATTTTAATTTTTTTTTAATATAAACATTTAAATGGTGGCTGTCATAAAAACTCGATGGATTTATTCAAACAAATTAAACATTGAAGAACAGTAAAAATTATAATGAATATGTTATATGGTGCATATATTAAGCAAAATGCTTAAAAAAAAGTTTATTTTTCAGCTGACTAATGAGTTTATGGTCACAGAATATGTTTTTCTGAGGTAAATGTGACGTTACGTGACATTGTTTACAAGCCGTTATATTGGCGTCTTTGCGAGACTGAAACACTGATTGAGCGATTACATGACACGGGATATGGCTTGTAAAGTTGTACTCTTTCTTTTAACTTACCTTCGGATGTTTAGTCATGTTTATTTTGTGCTGAAACTGGTATTAATGTGGAGGAGATGATCAGTTCACGTGCGCCTCGCGCTGCCGCTTTTATTGAACTGAGGCGCTACAGCGATCTGTCACTCCACATTAAACAGCGCCAAAACAGCATTTATTGTTTAAATACTGCAATACAAATGGACAGAATTTGAAATCTGAGACTTTGTCTCATATGAAAAGTACCAAAGCACAATGCTTATTGCGATTTATTGGATGGGAAGTGCCCTTCAACGTTCCATCCATTAACTGAAAACAGGCTAGACTAATCGATTCTTGGGATTTAGGAATTGATCTCGTTCCGCAAAAATGAGAATCGATTAATATTGAGATATTTTTTACCCAGTCCTAGCATTAAGTGACTTATTCATGGGATTGATCGGTAGGCCTAATTAAATAACTAATGCACAGTATATGTTGCCTGTTTTGTTTTTTTCAAAGAAAAGAGAAAACAATCCAGATGAAAAGACACAGCGAATGAGAAGAGCTCATGCCACAGGCATTCCTGTTACAGCACGTCACATTCAAATACATCATTCTCCTGACGTCTGAACGTCAAACTGAAAGAAAATGACTATTTGCAGTGAATCTTGATTATTTGAAATGATTTGTTTTGGTCTTTTTGAGTGGAAATTCCCCAAACCGGAAGTGCCTCCCATAATCTAAAAACCAGCAGGCTCCCCAGATAGCAAGCACATTCGGGCCGATTCCGGCTGAAATGCGGCACTGTCGGCTCAGTCTCAGCATCGGTGCTAACGGGCCAGAGCCGTGCCGACTCTACAAAACACTTCTGAGTGAAAGACGGCTTTTTCTCTGTGGGCCGATCTCTGCTGAAAGCTGTTATAGGCCTACATGCGGCAGGTCCACACTAGGCATGGGCCAGTATGAGAGTCTGACGGTATGATAACCTTAGATAAAAATATCACGCTTTCACGGTATTGCGATTATAGCTCTAAAATATGTTATTTTTAAATGTCTGGGTAAAAAACAACTTTTTTTTCCACTGAACACAATATATTTTATTTTTAAGAAACATATAGAACATTTTGGAACAGTAAACATGTCAGGCTAAACAATTAAAATAAATAATTAATTTCTTCTTAATGAGTGGTGTGAAAAAGTTTTTGCCCCCGTCCTGTTTTTTTTTTTTTTTTGCATATTTGTCACACTTGAATGATTCAGATCATCAAGCAAATTTTAATATTACACAAAGATAACCAGAGTAAATACAAAATGCAGTTTTGAAATAATGATTTCATTTATTAAGGGAAAAAGCGGTCCAAACCTGCTTGGCCCTATGTGAAAAAGTAATTGCCCCCTAAATCTAATAACTGGTTGTGCCACGCTTTCCAGCAACAACTGCAATCAAGTGTTTGTGATAACTGGCAATGAGTCTTTCACATCGCTGTGGAGGAACTCTGGCCCACTCTTCTTTGCAGAATTGTTTTAATTCGGCTACATTGGAGGGTTTTCAAGCATGTTTAAGGTCACGCCACAGCATCTCAATCGAATTCAAGTCCGGACTTTGACTAGGCCACACCAAAACCTTAATTTAGTTTATCTTGAGTCATTCAGAGGTGGACTTGCTGGTGTGTTTGGGATCATTGTCCTGCTGCAGAACCCAAGTGCGCTTGAGCTTGAGGTCACAAACTGACGGCTGGACATTCTCCTTCAGGATTTTCAGATAGAGCGCAGAATTTCAGCAGTCAGCAGTGGCTTTTGCCTGGGAACTCTCCCATGGATGCCGTTTTTGAACACTAAGCTTAATCGAGGCAAGTGAGGCCTGCGGTTCTTTAGATGTTGTTCTGGGTTCTTTTATGACCTCCTGGATGAGTCGTCGTTGTGCTCTTGGAGTAATTTAAAGGCCGGACACTCCTGGGAAGATTCACCACTGTTCCAAGTTTTCTCCGTTTGTGGATAATGGCTCTGACTGTGGTTCGCTGGAGTCCCAAAGCCTTAGAAATGGCTTTATAACCCTTTCCAGACTGATACATGTCAACTGTTTTGTTTCACATCTGTTCTTGAATTTCTTTAGTTCCTGGGAAGGTTCACCACTGTTCCAAATTTTCTCCATTTGTGTATAATGGCTCTGACTGTGGTTCGCTGGAGTCCCAAAGCCTTAGAAATGGCTTTATAACCCTTTCCAGACTGATACATGTCAACTATTTTGCTTCTCATCTGTTCTTGAATTTCTTTAGATCGCGGCATGATGTGTTGCTCTTTAAGCATGCTTCACTTCGTCAGACAGGTTCTATTTAAGTGATTTATTGATTCAACAGGTCTGGCAGTAATCAAGCCTGAGTGTGCTAGTGAAATATAACTCAGCTTTCTAAAATAATCTGGTTAATCACAGTTCTTTAGTGATTTAACAGGAGGGGGCAGTTAATTTTTCACGTAGGGCCAGGTAGGTTTGGACAGTTTTTTTCCCTTAATAAATGAACTCATCATTTAAAAACTGCATTTTGTATTTACTTGCATTGTCTTTGTGCAATATTAAAATTAGTCTGATGATCTGAATCTTTTAAGTGACAAATATGCAAAAAATAAAAAACAGGAAGGGGGCAAAAAGCTTTTCACGTCACTGTATATATATAAGGAGAGAGAAAGCGTGAGTGTGTTACACACACACACACACACACACATTTTTTGTTTTTTAAATTTTGTGATTTTGAACAGATGTAAACAATGGCAGGAGGCTTAAAAGTATAGACGTGATTCCAGCTAATTTTAATTATAGTCCTAAATCGCAGAAACGTAGTACTTTAGACTGCTATTCCTCACTCTGTGAAGTAACGTGAGGGAGGAAACTAGTTGACGTTAGCTAGTTAATTAGCAATGTTAAATAGTATTTATTTCAACACTGAAACAAACGTCGGGTGGGTCTTGGTCTTGATCGGGGGTGAAAGATGACACAAATGTATAGTTTACGTACGACCTGGAAGTATTTATTTAGCGATCGGCGCTAAACCGTCATCTGTACGGAACATGGTTCGTCTACGTTACCGGAAAAATTCCCATACGGCAGACTTCATCTTTTTTCGACAGGGGAAAAAGTTCCAGGGATTCACCTCCTTCGGCCGTCATCCCACACACAGGCGACTCTCACTGACCGCTCGCACCAACCGGAGGGGGAGGGTCGTGTGACTCGCTACGCTCTTCGCTGAACACAACTGAGGGAGTCCTGCACTTTCAGTCTTTGATGACACGTAAAAAACTGCGCATACCGCAGGAACGGTATAACGGAAAATTTGAGTGGTTTTGAAACCGTGACTTTTCCAAACCGCGGTATACCTTGAAACCGGTTATCGTCCCATGCCTAGTCCACACTCAGTGCAGTCATCTATCTCTGGCCCGAGTTAGTTTAGTCACAGGCGGGCAGTGTTGGGCTAGTTACTCAAAGAATGTAATGTATTAATCTAGAATATTACTAACAACATATTTCTGCCTCATCATTTGACCAAAATCCACATTGGATCGCAGTCAGAAGTTATTACAAACACTCATTAGTGATTGATAGTGACATTCAAGTAGAAGAAGTGTTATATTAATCTCATTAATTATCATGTGTAGCTTGAAGCTAATTGTAATTTCTCCGTTACCCATATACGATTACATTTCATTATGTATTTGATCAAATCACATAAGTTTGTAAGAAACAGTTTCATTTTCCAAAAGGATTTTTAATTATAGTAATATAATGTGCCACATGCTGATCAGAGGGATGTAATGCCAGAGTAAAGTACAGCCACAACTTACACAACAGTGTTCAGATCATCTTTTTTTCCTGACAAAATCAATATAATGCAATATTTCTATCTGCTGAATGTAAGCTTTTCCATATTCCAAGCTTATCCTGCTGCACTGGGGACATCCCATGCATGTGCGAGTCGTGGAAATTATGAAAATAAATCTAGGAATTATCTGATTGTTGGATTTTAAATCAGCGGGGTTGAGGCATCAAAAGTAACTAAGTAACTAATAGGGGTGCTCCGATCAGGATTTTTGAGGCCGATCGCCGATCACAGAAAGCAGTATCTGCCGATACGATCACGGATACCATCTTTTTAAAGCCTTCTTTTTATCATTTATAACTACTTATAGTGATACTCCAATCAGGATTTTTAGACATTTATTCAGGGCCTGAATTTCATTTTTGAAAACGTGGGGAATTCCCCTCTTAGGTGTCTCTTGTGAAGCAGCTTTCACTCAGGAGTCCGCTACTGCAGGGTTTCCCAACCGGGGTGCCATCTGTCGAGAACAGGGGTGCCATGTAAAAAATCCTGCTTGTAAGCAACACATTATTCAATACTTTTTACTTTTGCATTTAATGCCTTACATCTAGATTTATATATTAAGTTGCTCAAACAAGTGGCAAAACATTTAAACTACGTTTCTTACGTTATCACAAACTTACCATTGACAGAAATAGTCAGCTCTACTGCCTTTCCTTTTGCATTGAAATCTTTATCACAAGCAATCTTGCAGTTCATAAAGAACTGTGTTTTCCTTCCTCCACGAGTGGCATCTATTATTGCCTTGTTTATTTAAAAGTGCTCTTTCGCTAAAAGTTTTCTTTATCTTTATCTTCTTTCCCTTTAAACCTAGCCAAAGAGCCATATGTTTTGACTGTGAAACACAGTAGACTTTAATAATATGCATTTATGGTGTAATTACTACATTTTTGTGTCAATCCATGTTCATATTTACTGCAAACAATGCGCCGTTACTTTAATTCAGGCTTGCAGCGCAGCAATAGACTCGGTGCTGAAACGATCTCTGCTGCAGACGCACCGCTCCTAGAGCGCACTGACGTGCAGTGTGGTGAACGCTTTAATCCGTTAACATGAGCGCGGAAAAACATGCACCACGTATGCACTGCAAACGGAGTAATGTGAACCTGGCGTTAGGGTTGGGCCGATAGACGATGCCATCTTGCATCGCCGATGGCTGACAGACATCAATCCGCCACATCCCAGTTCAGTGTTCGGAAAGGAAATGAAGTGTACTACGGAAACCCTAAAAGGAATAAATAGCCTACGAGATGGGAGAACAAAAAATATATATCAATACTTTTTCTCGCAATTATATCGTTGGGTAAGTTTAGGCGACTGTATATAACTTCCTGGCATCAGGGAGCCGCTATTGAAACCGCTTTTGATTGCGCGCTCTGTTTACTTTCACTTTCACTTCTGAGATGCGCGATCACAAGGACTCTATACTATGGAGCGGCAGTACTTACCACACATTTGACAAGATTAGATGTTTGTCATTGGTGCTCAGGATCTGCAGATCATTCGCCATCGTCCTATCAGACGTTTCTCCTTACTCGGTGTAAGTGAACTTTCATGTACTGTAATGCAACAGGCTACCACTAGCAAGCGGCTAATCTTTTAGTGGCTCCGTATAAAGCGCTATTTGTTTCACGCTTCGGGCACACCCCTAACCCCGCCCCCCTCGCCCCACCCCCGATGTCATCGTCCATCACGATGTTTCACTGTAGACATCGTCCGATGCCAATTTGGTAGACATCGTCCAACCCTACCTGGCATTATGTACGTGCGCTGCGAGTGTGCATGAGTGCACGGTCTCCAGGAGAGTGAAATTACGTCTCACACAAAGTTTTCAAATTACTTTATAAGTTATTTAATGAAATAATATGAATTGTACCTCACCTTCAGCGTTATACTTATTTCACGGACAGAGACCAGAGACTGAGACGGTGCCGCTGCATGTCGTGCCAAACCTCTCACAGCAGCGT